AAAAAAAAAAAAAAAAAAAAAAATCAATGCCAACTCCACAGTCTCAACTTGCAACTATACATACTGGCTTGTCTTCCTCCTGAAATCCACTGCAGAGTTTATCCTACACACTCAATTCACTTGTGCACAGCACAGTTCTGGAAAAGTCCAGGTTTCTCCTATGATTACCCACAGCTGCTTCCTGAGTGCTTGGTCACAGCCAAGTCCATAGTGGCACAGGGCAGTGGGTTCCCAGGGATGGAGGAAATATAGTCCTTCTCCTCACAGAGATTTCTCTCTGGTGCCTGCAGCAGATAGCTTATGACAAGATTTTGTTGACCCACAAACCTCTTCTTTTCTTCCTAGGCACAGAGACTTCCACCTAGAGTGTGCCTTTTTCCTTTCTTTCTTTCTTTCTTTTTATTTCTTTCTTCCTTTCTTTCTTTCTTTCTTGCTTGCTTGCTTGCTTGCTTGCTTGCTTGCTTGCTAAGGATGGAACTGAGGGCCTTGTGCATGCTAGGGAGGCACTCTACAACTTTGCATTGAGCTACATCTCCCATCATTTTTTAATTTTTTAATTTGATGTTATACTGGATCTTGAGCAAAAGGCTGAGAAGACGTTAGTATTCTTTATTTTGAGATAGGGTCTTGCTAACTTGTCCCAGCCAGGCTCAAACTTGTGATTCTTCTGCCTCAGCTTCCCAGAGTCCCAGGAATACAAGTGTGAGCCACCATGCCCAGTTCTAGAGCATCTCTTACATGTAGCTGTGGCTAAACAGCAAGAGCCTTGGGTTTTAACTGCTAGACACGTAGACTTCTGACTCTTCTTGCTGCTGCCTGGCACATCGATGCCACAAGGAAACAGGATCGAAACAGTTGGGTAGGGCTTCACCTTGGCTTCTGCAGAACTATGGAATCCCTGGAGATATTGCAAGGCCAGGTGTTCTGTATTACGATTGAAAACAAAAACCTGACGTTTGAACTTCATGGACCACAAGATGCGGTGCTTTCTGTGATGGACAGTCATCAAGCCTCTGAAACCATTTGCTAGAGATCATGCAGCCCTGTGTGGCAGCAAACAGTGGGATCGTGCTCAGTCTGTTGAGTACTTTCTCTATTTTAATGTGAAGTCAGGGATTCTGTGGATCATTTGTGAACCTGCAGAAAAGAAGCACCATAGTCTCCTAAACACCCTCCCAACCTCTCTTTATGCACTCACCACTGACTTATGGGAACAAGCCAATTCTACTGGTGTGGTAGAACAATCAGAGGCAAATTTCCTTCTACAGAGACTAATTTTACAAGATGTGACTCAGTTGTTTTCCCTGATGCTTTGCTCTTGATGTCACCACAATACAACACAAATTGTGCAGGAGTAAATTGTACTGTGAAGATTTCACATTTTTTAATTATTCATTTTCTTTTGTTTTTTCTTTTATTTTAAAAAATTGAACTGAGGACCTCGTGCTTGCCAGGCAGGCACAGCGCCACTGAGCTAAATCCCTGTCCTTATTTTTTTTGGTTTTTTGAGACAACCTCTCACTGTGTAGTTCAGGCTGGCGTCAAACTCAGTGATCCTCTGCCTCGACCTCCCAAGTGCTGGGATTACAGGCGTGCCCTAGCATGCTTGGCTTGGGAGATTTCACAGTTTTTGCAAGGTTTGTCATCTACTATGCCCTTTTTTTGTTTTGTTTTGTTTTTTTGGAGACAGGGTCTCACTATGTAGTTGAGACTGACCTAGAACTCACTATGTAGCCCATGCTGGTCTCAAACTCCTGCCTCAGCCTCCCGAGTGCTGGGATTACAGGCATCCGCCACCACATCCGGCTCCCTGCCCTTCTTTTTCATATTGTACTAGTATGTGAGAGCCACAGAACAAAGAAAAAGACATGGGAGTCCCATAGTCCCTTTCAAAACCATACCCCCAATAACCCATGGACCTCCCACAGGGTCCCCCCACTTCCCAAAAGTGCCACCCTGGGGACCAAGCCATCAATACATGGGCCTTTGGGGAATTCAATATCTAAACTATAGGGCTGGGGATTTAGATCAGTGGTTCTGCCTCCTGCCTCGTAAGCACAGGGTCCCGAGTTCAACCCCTGGTACCAAAAAAAAAAAAAAAAAAAAAAATCTAAACTACAGCTGTTGGTGAGAACCAAATAATTAGCCAGTACATAAAATTTGAATAAGTGAAATTTCAGTGTAAGATGCAGTACAAAGAGTTAAAAGTTTCTATTCTTAGAATAACAACTTATTTGGGCTGGGGGTTTAGCTCAGTGGCACTGTGCCTGCCTTGCTGCAAGTGCGAGGTCCTAAGTTCAATTCCTGGTACAAAAAAAAAAGAATAACGACTACTTATCATATTGAGAATGTGTTATATGTTGCTGAAGAGCTGTTTTTTTTTTTTTGTTTTTGTTTTTGCAATAAACTTAAAAACAGTTTCTTGGGCTAGGGATTTAACTGTTTCCACCACCTGCCTTGCAAGTGCAAAGTCCCGAGTTCCACCCCTGATACCAAAAAAGAAACAAACAAAAAAAACCCACAACACTTTCTTTATTCAGGCTACTGAATCCACAAAATCCATAAATAAATGTCATGCTATAGCATGAGATTTGTGAATGATCAAGAAAAATTTTCAGATTTCCCAAACTAACGAACAAGGAGCCAAAATAGATTTAATTTTCCTGCCATATTTATCTGTCTTGACATTTGTTTTGGTGGTTCCCATCAACAGTTGGGTCCATGAGAGTTCTTACTGCTTCTGTTAAAAAAAAAAAAAGCAAAACAAAACAAAAAAACTGAAAAGCCAGTAAACAAGAAAAACACACTGCTTTCTTCACAAAGATGTGTTGGTGTCAAAAGTCTTAGAGATGAAAAAAGTGATGTTGCACTGTGGTTAACTTTATTACATAAAGCTTAGCTTACTCGGCAGTGTTTAAAACATTACACGATATGATCAGTAATTCCACTGCTGGGTAAAATGCCCCTAAAGAATTTAAAGTACTAACAGGAACAGATATAAGTACAGAAACAGATATATGTACACCAGCATATAGCACCATCAGTCACAATAGTCAAAGGTGTCAGGAGGCTGAGGCAGGAGGATTGCTGTGAGTTTGAGACCAGCCTGAGCTACATAGTGAATTCCAGGTCACTCTCCCTACATAGTGAGACCCTGCCTCAAAAAACCAAACCAAAACAAAACAAAACAAAAAAAACCCCTAAAAAAATAGTCAAAAGTGGAAACAACACAAATGTCCTTCAGTGGATGTGGTTGTGCACAGTGGGATATTATTTAGATGTTAAAAGGACACTTTTATCAGCATCAGATTTATTTATTTTATGTCTTTATCAAGTTAATTATCACAAACACAGATTAACATCCAGACTAATAGGCCAAAAACATATAAAACACATAAAACAATGATACTAAGTCCAGGTATACTGTTAGGTACATTGGCCATGCTGGACTACAATAACTTTTCTCTCTCCCTCTCTTTTCTTTTAAAGAATAATTTGACACATGCTCCATCAATGAGTCCTGAAGATGTGCTAAATGGATAAGGGAGACACAGAATAAGAAATATTGTATGACTCTATTTAAATGAGGTATCTGGAATAGGCACTTTCATAGCAATAGAAAATTGAGTACACAGTAACGGCACTATGAACTGTGGGGAAAGAAAAATGAGAAACTACTGTCAAATGAATACAGAAACTCAGTTTGAGATGATTAAAAAGTTCTAGAAAGTGGATAATGGTGATGGGTGCATTGACTGTATTTTTAAATGATTAAAACTTAGCAGTTATGGAGATTGAATGTAGGGCTTCACACTTTCCACCTCACTCTTTTAAAAATTTTTTATTTAGAGCCAGTGTCATGCTAAATTGTCCAGCTTGGCCTTGAACTTTCAGTCCCTTTGCCTTAGCCTCCTGAGTAGCTGGAATTACAGGAATGTGCCACCACACTCAGCTAAAATGATAATTTTTATGTCATCTATATTTTATCATAATCCATTTCTTTTTAATATAAACAAACTGAATGAAAACAGAAACAGAGAGCACAGAAATTTCCTACCATGCACGAAAATCTCATGTCTTAGTGTTACTATGTAATGGCAGGTCTAGTCTAGGCTCTTGTGTATGACAAACAAAAAATTGCCAAGTGTACAACCAGTAGCAAGCAGCTACATTTATTGACGATCACAGGAAGTTGTGCTCAGGGCAAGTCTATACCAACAAAAAATGTGGGACAGAAAAGTGGTGCTGGGGTGATAGAAAAGCAAAATTACTGCATATGGGTCATAGTGCACAGAAGCAGCAATAGCAATGGCCCTGATAAATCAGGCTTTTGGAATTTAAAGGATATGTTTGCCAGCCCAAGTGCCTCCTCACAAATCTCTAGGTATGATTTACAGGAATGTTTGACAGGATGCTGTTCATCTCAGGAGCTCTTAACACCCATGTTTGTCCCTGAATTCACTCTGATCTTAATTACATGCATGACATGTAGTACATATTTATGAACCCTTAATGAGGTAGGAGTAAGGTGAAGGTGAGTGAAGATCAGGCTAGAAGACACACGTGTTCTTACCTACAGTGTTAAGGATCTCCTGAGTTTTTGTTATTTTATTTTCTACCTCTCTTAGGACAATGGAACTATAGGGAAAGGCAGCTTCTAAGC